AAGAACAACAAAGCTGGACTGATTTTCAGTGGGGTTTAATTTTGGTCATTGCTAAATTGGATCTCCCACATTTTAAGAAACTTGCTTTCATCTCTTTCATCTCTTGGTTGCAACTTAATTACATTTGCCTACAAATGAAAACATTTGCTTCACTTTACAATAAATCCTGTGAAGCAATTTGAGACATCCCTTGGTGAGGAAAGCCCCATATCAAATGCGAGGTTTTTTTTAAAATCTTTTACCGGCAAAACCATCAAGGTCTTTATATTTGGCAGAATGTGTGCTGTTTTTTGCTCTCTCTCTCTCTCTTGTCTCTCTCTCTGAACAGGTTCATTATAAATCCATACCAGGGTTTATAGACTAGAGCTTAATTGAATAAATTGCATTTCCAGCTTTTCCCTCCCTCCGTCTGCTGTGTTTTTAGGTGGTGGGTTTGGAAGATTACGTAGTGCAGCAAAATTCCCACACAAAGATGATCCTCACATCACCTCAATATTTAGTTGTGAGCTTTTTTTGATACCGCAGATGCTTTGTTGCATCAAACCTGTCAGTCTAATTCTGACAAATGTGTATTTTATGGGTTGAGATTTCCTTCTAGGATCAGGGGCAGAAGCAGGGTCAGATTCATATTCTCTGGGAAAACAAATGATATTTGGTAGGTGCAGTGGGATTTGGGGAAAATGAATTAAAGTTTATGGGAATGAAAACCTTGTGAAAGAAACAATGGCCATTAAAATCTGTTTAGGTGAAATAATTGGAACCAGATGCCAGTAATTGTTTTATTTGTTTCCAATTATTTTATTGCTGATGGTGAATATGATTTTTATTTTTTTATTTACAGAGGGAACTATTCGTGAAAGGTATTGCCTGCATTTTGTTTCGCAATGTTGAGTTGTCAGCCAAATCCATTAGTGTGGTTGGAAGGAATTCCGTCAACTTCCCATTACACACACTCTCTCTCTCTCTCTCTCTGTCTCTCTTTCTGAGGCGCTAACTGAAGAGTTCATCATTTCTTTCTGGCTTCTATTACTAGGGAGGATTATTCATGACAGACCAGGTTTGATGCTCTTAATCATACATTTTGTAAAGCTTTTGTCGAGCTTGCCTTGCCTTCACAAGTGGTCCTTTTCAAACCAGTTTCAGTCTCATTAAATTGTGACTAGCTTTATTCCCAAAATAATGTTTGATTTGTGGGGGTGTTTACTTTCCCATTTTATGCATCTTTGTAGGCGTTGTTTATTAGGGCTGTAAGATTTGTGGGGCACAATAGTGAGATTGTGGAGTCCTGTAGCTCTGTGGTTGGAGCACTCGCCTTGCAAGCGAAAGACCTGGAATCCATTCCCGAGCACGGCAAAATGTTGGACAAGTTTACTTACTCCACACACTTTTGTTTACCAGCAGTAAGTAGGAACCTGGTTGTTAATTGATTGGCGGATCGCTTTTACGTGGTAATAATCCCTTCAATAATAATAATAATAAATTGGTCACTTTAATCCACGACTGTTTGTGGGATGCTGCTGTGAGCAGTGAATTCACTTCACAGTATATTCTGTGAAACAGTTTGAAACGAATGACAGATGAGATAAGGCGCTGTATCAAATGCAAGGAGTCCTGTAGCTCAGTGGTTAGAGCACTCGCTTTGAAAGCGAGTGACCTGAGTTCAATTCCAGGGGTCAGGGCCAAACCTTGGGCAAGTTTCCTTACTCCACACAGAGCCTAATAATAAACTCTCCAAAACCAAAAACAATAATAAATTGATCATTTTCAATCTACGACTGTTTGTGGGACATTGCTGTGCGCAATTGTCTGCCGCGTTCGCCCACAAATATACAGTCAATTCACTTTACAGTGTGCTCTGTGAAGCGCTTTGGGACGTCCTCCCGACGTGAAAAGCGCTATATCAAATGCAAGGATTATTATTATTATTATACTGAATGTTCCTTCTCGGCAGACATATTGCACAAAATCCTGAACGATCCTGCCAGCCAGCCTCTCTAGAGGGTTTCATGCTCTAACACTGTTGCTACTTTTGTTAAGTTTGATTAGTACATTACAAAGCATAATAAGCTGCTTATATTTTTCTAATTAAGTTTGAGGAAATCTTTAAGTTCTTTTCCTCTATGAAACAAATTCCTTTCTCACACCCTCGTCCATTTCTGGATGAAAGGACGGGAGAATTGGAAAAGGATCAAACTTTCTCAGTAAATGTTGTGAGGTGTCTACAAGCTGTGATTGGGTGAGTTTACATTTGGGAAATACCCAAACATCTGCTTGAGTTCAAGTGCTCTCTGCACGTGGAAACGTATGCCAATGGCTCTCTGTTCATCTCCAAAACACACAGTCACTACACGTATAACCTATAAGGCTGTTTGAAATGTCCTCCCCATGTGAAAGACGTTATATCAATGTATTATTAATAAACTGGCAATTGTCTTATGGCTGGAAGAGGGAGGTAACTATTTGCATGAAAGTATGTGTTTGGGGGGATTCAAATGGAGATTTTGAAGAGTTGGATTGTATTGGTAAATAGAACATCATCAACAGAAGATGAAAGGGTGTTGGTGTTAGAAGAAATGTTCCACAGAAGGTTGGTAGGTTATGAAATGTTTTATTACCACAAACAACTAATAAAAGCTGAGTTCCCAACTGCATTTAAAAGGGTATTGGATAACTATTTGGAAAAATGACATTGTTCTTGAAAAAGAGCAGGACAATGGGATTCGAGTCATTAGGGGAGCGAGCATCCCAGGTACGATGGACAAAATGACGACTGCTACAATTGTTTGTTCATTAAAACAAATGTTAAAACAACACTTAAACAGGAGAGGTACAATGAAAATTTAGCTGAAGTAATAAATTTGACAAGTTTATGTCCCTTTCAGTGAGATGTAGCATGTCTTGTCTGTCTATTTAAAGCGTGTCCTGACAAAGTGACTTGATTTGAAACAATCTTAAGTAATTGGCACAAGGCGTTGTGTGCTCTAACAGGCTATTTATTGAAAGCATATTAACAAATCTACAGTTTTAGTTGCTTTTATTTACTAGAAAGAGAAAAAATAATTTTCTGCAATGAAGTATTTACGTCCTACCTGAAGGGCAGGTATTGGATTTTTCATCAATCTTATAAACAAACTGTAGTATTTAGTATTTAGTTTCTAATGGTTACCGTTGCTCGGTGAGAGCTGGATGTGCAGATTGTGCGAAGCCTGACACCTTGCACAAGGCAGGCACCTCCTGGAGGATATTGCAATGTCATAGAGGCCTCGTTGGGACACAAAACTTATCCAGCTTATTTCCTACGACAGCTACAACAACTTGCATTTATATAGCGCCCCTCACACAGGGTAGTGCCCTAGAGCTCTTGACAGTGGCTGAGCACGACGCACAAGGCGATATTAGTTATCCCTACCCCTCTCTTTACCTCCCAGCTCCGCCTCCTTGCACCTCCTACTCACAGACATCATAAACCTCTTCCTGTCCACTGGTACCGTTCCCACCCCTCCAAAAACGTCCGTCATCACTCCTATCCTTAATAAACCTTCCTTGGATCCATCCCTTGCTCTCAAACTACGGCCCCATCTCAAACTTCCCTTTCCTCTCCGAGGTCCTGGAACAAATCATTGCTTCTCAGCTTCGCTCCTTCCTCTCCCGCCACTCCCTTCACGAACCCCTCCAATCGGATTTCCGTGCTGCCCACAAAAGAAACAGCCCTGGTTTAAGTGACAAATGACATTCTGTCCATCTGCCTCCTTGTCCTCCTTGATCCGTGGCTTCCCATCACACAGAGGATACAGTTCAAGATCCTGGTCCTCACCTTCAAAGCCCTCCATGGCCTTGCTCCCCCTACCTCTGCGACCTCCTACCCTCTACCATCCTGCTCGCTCCGTCTGCTCAGCGGGCTTCGGCTTGCTTCATGTCCCCAGCCTCGCCCACCCTACCATTGGTGGGCAGGCCTTCCGCCACTCTGCCCCCACCCTCTGGAACTCCATCCCGCAGTCCCTCCGCCTCGCCCCCTCCCTTGCCACCTTCAAGACCCATCTCAATACCCTCCTTCGACCGTGCCTTCGGTCACCCTCTTTTTTCGCCTCCCTGCCCTCCACCTTCCTTCCCCCCCCTTGCCCTCCACCATCCCCAATTCCAACCCCCAGCTCGGGTCCGAAACATTGATTGTCCAATGCCTTGGGACGTCCTCCTGATGTGAAAGGTGTTATACAAATGTAATTTGTTGTTGTTAGTTTCCCATTTCTACCTGTTTGCACCACTTTGCCAATGACTGACAGCTTTGTTTCCATGTGAGATCAACAAACCCTCGTTTTTTTCTTCCCCCACAGTTGGCTGTGGTGTAATTTCCATTGTGAATAATGTCAACTATCAAAGTGTAACTTATCAAAATGCCAGGATTATAAATTTAGTGGCAATCCTGTACTAACCATGTCAGATGTTCTTTTACTCAGGAGAGCTATTTTTGAGAATGGAAACTGCAAAAAAGATTTTCATGCTCGTTTACAAATCCGTTCATACCCTGGCATCTCCCTACCTCTCCGATCTGCTTACTACCCAACCCACTACCCGCTGCCACTGCTCCACTGTCTGCATCCAGCTTTCTGCATGGCCTTGTGCCCCTGTGTACTGGTAATACACAAAAGCATCTCCTGGCCGATAACAGATTGGTTTGTAGCATATTTGGCAGACATGATTTAGCAGAATGTAGCCATGTGACGCACTTGATGTGTTTTGAAGACCTGGTGATTGAATGATACAAAAATAGTGTAATGAACTGAGATTAGTATAATAAACGGATGCAACCAAACGGGTTCTGTAATGTGTTGGATGGCAATCTGGGTTTCAAATGTCATGTTGAGAAAGTTATTTCTGAAATGTTATGGTGCCTTAATATCTTTTCAAGAAGCCCCGGTTTATGTTTGTGCAGACTGTAGCTGCCCACAATGACACAGTCTGCTTGCCTTTTCTCTAACTGAACTGAGTTGTCTCTGTTTCAGGAGCTTGAGGATGAGGTGGACAAGGAGAGCACAAAACTGCAGAAGCTGCAGGAACAGAGGCAGGAGGTGCAGGAGGTGCTCAGTGGGTTGAATCAGCAGAAAAACAAACTGGAGGAGCAGCTTAATGACATCAGGCAAAAGTGTGGGGATGAGATCCAGCTGGTAGGTCTGAGCTGCTTGTGAGAGTCACTAGATAAACCGACTCCTTGGCACCTTGCCAACGGTTGCACTAGATACGAACAAAGAATCCATTAGCAATCTCAGGCAATGAGGTTGCGTAGTTAACAACACCAGCAAATATTTTCTCATTTCCAACGTAGCAGATGAACTTACTGTGTGTCCCATTCGGCCAGAGACTCTTTCTCACGTGGGTTGATTTCTAGATCCACCTCATGCGATGGTCAGTTGCATATTGAGGGATTTTTGTTCTTATAAATGAAATGACATTGTATGAAAATGTAACACCTGAAGTACTTTCTCAGTCCGTCCCCTAAAGGGCCTGTTCTCCAATTCCTCTTCAATGCTGTTCAATAATTACCCGCTAGGAGGTGCAGGATGCGGGATCCTGGATTATAGTACTTGCCGGTTTCCCATTACTCTCGTCAGTCATGTTAACAGTCCAGCTTTTTGCTGAATGATTTTATTTTAATTCTGAAACACACAATTTTTATTAACTATTGATGCTGCCATATTGTGCTGCTTGAAAACATCGTAATTCTTGTTCTAGATTGTTAAACTCCGTGTGATTTGCTTTGCAGATCTCTTCACTAAAGGAAGAGATAACCAGCCAGGCAACACAGATCTGCACGTACGAGGAGGAACTCAGTAAAGCACAGGAGGAGCTCAGCCGTCTGCACCAGGAGACATGGGAGCTGGAGGAGCGTGTGGAGGCCAGTCGAGCACAGCTGGAGCCTATGCAGGAATCCCTGCAGACATCCCAGCAGGAGATCAACCAGGTGATTTCCTGGGCCCCATGCACTGAGCTCAGGGATTACACATTGCTGCCGGGCGCTGGCTGCAGTTTGGAGCCCACAAAACACACAGTTACCCCACTTTACAGTATATTCTGTGAAGCTCTTTGAGGTGTCTCAGTGACATGACAAGGCACTGTGTCAAATGCAAAGATTATTATTACTTTCTTGTTGGTGTATTTGGTAAAGAACAGATTTCAGAACTACAGCGCTGTTTATTGTGCACAACTATAATGATCACTTATGGAGCTGCCTATAAATGATTGTAAGGTGCTTGACTTCAAAGTACGGAGCTTTTTTGTAAAATAAACCCAGCTGGAAACGATGCAATATCCTGAACTTTTTTAAAAACTAAAGGGATTAAGCGATATAGGGATAGAATGGGTAAATGGAATTAGGTTAGAAGATCAGCCATGATCTTATTAAATGGCAGGGCAGGCTCGAGGGGCTGAATGGCCTGCTCCTATTTCTTAAGCTCTTATCCTGAACTTTTCTGTAGCTTGCTTGAGGAGTTGTGAATAGTATCTACAATAGTGAATAAGCACGGATTTAACTTAGACACGTATCATTTTCAGAGGCTCCAGAATGTGGCTAAGAGACAATTATAGATGTGTCCAAAATTTGGACTTCAAATCAAATTGATAGATATAGTCTTAAAATTAGAGCTACCTAATGCTTTCTTAATGTCTGACAGCTAAGTGTCTTGAAACTCGTGTAAATCGCTTGACCTTTGTATCCCAAGGTGAAAACCAAGCTGTCTGAGCTGCAGGAGTGTGAGGAGCAAAACCCAGTGGTTTGGCGAAATCATCTTCAGCCTGTTGTCATCAATGGCAAGGTTGAGAACTTTGAGGTTAGCAACAGTGAGCCCACTATCTCAGACGACAGCAAGGATCGAGAAAGCCTGTCGGAGAAGGAAGAGACTGTGAATGAAGCTGCGGTGAGACTTTGTGATTGCAAATGAATGGTTTAGACAAACTTTTTTTCATTCTTACTTACTCTTGAATATTAATCCTCGTGGGCCCTTGTTGAAGTTTGGAGTTGCATCTACAATAAGATGGGGTTGTTGACTTGAGTCCTAACGTGATGTTCGAGATGTGACTTTCTTTCCACCCTGAATTCCCAGGTCGAGTTCCTGTTTTCCGCAGGGCCCCTTGGGAGATCCTGAGTGGAGTAAAGTACTTCACTGTCAGGACAACCGATCTGTGAAGCTCTCAGCGTTCAGATCCAAACAGGTCTTGGGAATTGGGAGTTGAGGCATGGCAAAGAGAAACGATAATGGGGATCAGGTGTCTGTATGTAGGAGGGAGGGATGGAATGCAAAATCAAGGCTGTTGATGGAATTTCTAAAGGGTTGGAGGGTACAAGGAAGGCAATAAATCCAACTGCGTAATGAGTATTGGGAATAATGAAATGGAGCTGTTGCTCTCAGTGATGGTGAGGACACGGCCTCTCACCCTTTTCCCTCTTTATTTACAATTTAAAAAATGGCAAATTTCTCTACAGTAAAATAAATGTTTTTTTCGTTATTAATTGTTTTGAAAAAGGGTTAGGGTTAGGGTTGAAAAAGGCAAGTGTGGAGCTGTTTGGGAAGAGGCCACAAATCTGTTCTGTAATACTGCTTGTTATTGACTGTTTATTGACTGTGTATGTTAACTAACTATTCAGTTGAATGTCAACAAAACCGAGGCCATCCTGACTGGCTCCCATCAGCGCCTCCACACCTCAGGCGCTGACAGCATCACCATCCACTGTTGCGCACTCCACCTAACTGAGCCAGAGCAGAACTTGGGGTCTTGTTTGACCCTCAACTATCCTTTCTACTCCACATCCATACCATGATCCGCTCTGCTTTCCTCCACCTCGGCAACATCACCCGGCTCCGCCACTGTCTCACACCGCAGGCCGCTGAGACCCTCATACATGCTTTCATAACATCGAGGCTCGACTATGCAAACTCATTGCTTGTCAGCCATTCCAGCTCCTTCCTCCACAGGCTCCTGATCATCCAGAACTCTGCAGCCCGTGTCCTCTCCCGCACCAGGCTCTGTGACCCTATCACCCCCATTCTCGCCCGACTCCACAGAGGATACAGTTCAAGAACCCTGTCCTCATCTTCAAAGCCCTCCATGGCCTCACTCCTCCCTAACTCTGCGACCTCCTAACCCCCTAAACCTGCTTGCTCCTTCCGCACAGTGGGCTCCAGCCTGGTTCACGTCTCCGCCTTGCCCGCCCCACAATTGGGGCGGGCCTTCTGCCACTCTGCCCCACCCTCTGGAACTCCATCCCGCAGTTCCTCTGACTCACCCCCTCCTTTACCTCCCTCAAGAAGTATCTCAAGACCCTTCTCTTCGACCATGCCTTCGATCACCCTCCTTCCCCCCCCACCCTCAATCCCGACCCCCAGCTCGGGTCCGAAACACTGACTGCCCAGCGCCTTGGGATGTCCTCTCAATGCGAAAGGCACTATACAAATGTAATTTTGTTGTTGTTGGCGGCGGTGTTATAGTAGGTTATTATTGTTGCAGGAAATAAAGACAATAACCTTTATTGGTTCAAATCTTTGTTGCAAAATAGAAAAGTGAAAAATTGTTTAATTATCAAATTTTTTGAATTGGAATATGATATCATTGTATTTGATCCTGGCATTTTATGAAATACACACACACTACTCTTCACAGTAAAATCCCAATGAAATGTCATCGCAACATGAAAAGCACTGTATGAAATGCAAGCGTTATTACAGCATTTCAAAAACAAACTCGAACGCTCGAGCGCAGGAGGCAGAAATCTGCATTGTCCTCTCTCTCTCAACTCCCCCTCCTCTCCCCCCTGCTGGCCGACAACTGTCAACCAGTCTCTCCTCAGGCTGTGTTCCACTCCCCCTGAAAACCGCTGTCAAAACCCCACCCTCGATCCCTCTAATCTCTCACACCACCGTCCCATCTCCAACCCGCCCTTTCTTACCAAAGTAGGTCACACCTCTCCCTCCACTCCCTCCTCGAGCCCCTGCAGTCTGGTTTTCTCCCTGACTGCCCACACACAGAGATAGCGCTTGTCAAAGTCACAAACGACATCCTCTCCATCTGTGACCAGGGCTCCCTGTGCCTCCTCATTCTCCTGGATCTCTGCCGGGTTCGACACAGTCGCCACTCCATCCTCCTCCATCGCCTCTCCTCCCTCATCTACCTTAGTGGGACACCACTTGCATGGTTCGAGTCCTACTTAACCAACTGCCTCCATTTTATCTAGGCAAATGGTTTCTCCTCCCGCCCCCGCCCGGTCACCTGCGGGGTGCCCCAGGGCTCCATCCTTGGCCTCTTTTCTTCCTTATCTCTATGCTCCCTCGGGGCGATGTCATCCGCAGACACAGGATAAACTTCCACATGTTTGCGGATGACACACAGATCTACTTTGCCTCCTCCAGCACCAACTCCAGGTCCCCCCGATATGCTATCAGTTTTTCTGGCAGACATCGAGGCCTGGATGAGTGTAAACTTCCTGCTGCTGAATATGGACAAGATGGAAGCCACACTCCTTGGCTCCCGTCAACGGCTTCACTCCTCCGGATGTAAACTCCTCGACCTCCCTGGGCTCTCCCTCAGACTCAATGAACCAGTGGGCGAGCTAACCTCCTCACTCCCCAATCCACCACCCGGTGCCTCCGCTCAACGGGCACCAGCTCCTGCTCATCCCTCACACCCTCCGCCCCACCATCGGAGGTCTCTTGTTCATGGCTTCAACACCTCCAGGCTCGACTATGCAACTACTCCCTCCACAGGCTGCAGATAATCCAGAACTCTGCAGCCCGTGTCCTCTCCCGCACCAAACTCCTTGATCCCATCTCCCCCACTCTCGCCCGACTCCATTGGCTCCCTATCCTTCAGAGGATCCAGTTCAAAATCCTGGTCCTCACATACAAAGCTCTCCATGGCCTTGCTCCACCCTACCTCTGTGACCTAACCCCCTACCAACCCGCCCGTTCTCTCCCCTCAGCCGGCTCTGGCCTGCTCCACGTCCCCCGACCTACCGTTGGCGGGAGAGCCTTCAGTCACTCAGCCCCCAACCTCTGGAATTCCATCCCCCAATCATTCCGCCTCACCCCCTCCTTAGCATCCTTCAAGTCCCACCTCAAGACCCTCCTCTTTGACCATGCCATCAGCTACATCCCCCTGACCCCAGCTCGTGTCTGAAATGCTGTCACTGTCCAGCGCCTTGGGACGTCCTCCTGACGTGAAAGGCGCGATACAAATGTAATCTTGTTGTGTTTTCAGCCCCTATTCCCCGAAACTCTGGAACACTCTCCCTCAATCCCTCCGCCTTGCCCCTTTGAAGCCCCGCCTGAAAACTTTCCTGTTTGACCGTGCTTACAGCCACCTTCCCCACTCCTCCCGGCTCGGAGTCAGGTTCCGCCACTGTTAAGCGCTCTGAGATGCTACCCTGCGTGGAGTGAGCTGTATAAGTGCAAGTTGTTGTTGTATTTCTCGTTCCAAATGAATGGGTGAAGTCTCCATACAGGAATGAGAGAGGACGGTGTTGCAATTTTGTGGCCATAAAAAAAGTTAACTCACATGGAGTTTGACTTGAACTCGCTTGGATACACATGCTGTGGGAAAGAATTCTATTGGGTTTCTGACCACATTTGAATTGAATGTATTTGTTTCCAGATCGACAGCCGCCTCAAAGATCCCATCCCGAACACTGCAGAGAGGGTAGAGGAGGTCGAGGAGGCAGAGCAGAGAGAGGAGGCTGAAGAGGCTGAAGGCGCACTGCCTGCTCTCACAGATGAAGTACGTTCACTGGTTGATTGGCTTTTGCTCCAAATATTGGCTGTCAGCTGCTGTGGTTGGGATGGTCCTCCATAATGCTTCTCTAGGGTTATCTCACTACACCAGACTGCAGCGCACGATACAACAGCAGACTGTAGCGCACAATACAACAGCAGACTGTAGAGCAAGAGGACGTGGGTAGAGAGTTACAAAGGGAAATTTCAAGAAGAACACCAGGAAGGTTTTCTTTACCCAGAAGGTTATTAATGACTGCAACAGATTGCCAAGTTGTCGGTTTGTATTTGAGGACAGGACACTGGACTTGTTTATAAAAATATATATATAAATTGCCATTGTTGGCTTGTCTATGGTTTAATTCATACAGTTGTTAATGTGCCTTGATTCTAGTTTACATATAACATATTACAGTCATGCTGCGTTGGGTTTCTGTGATCTTCTTATGTCTCAGACGACAGTCCAGAAATGCCAAGGTCCTGGACCAGAAGACAAACAAATTTCTTAATATTCTTTGGAATGTACCTTTGAAGCATTTTTGAACAGTCTGGAAATGCTATTGGTGTGGTTTATTAACCCATTCAAATGACCCATCAGGATTTAAACTGAATTAAAAACAGCTGTGACTTGTGCTAAACATAGCTGAAACTCATATCTGAGAATTTGAACCCTCCAAAGAGGGGGTTCAGTTGTCTGAAAGAATATTTCTTCAATCCTAAAGGTTGTTGGAGCGTTTTAAACACATTAAAATGTGTGTCTATTTCAACATTCACTCTTGCAGGAAGATGATTTTGATATGAAAGTCGCTGGATATACGGTCGCTATTCCAGACTCAAACCTGGACTTCTTTCAGACTGATCCATTCACCGGAAGTAAGTAAAAGTTACCGTCTTATTTTATTCTCCTCCCCACCTTTCAGGCTAAGCTTTTAGTCTACCTAAAAAAGCAATATATTGCATTTATATATCGTGGAATCCTGTAGGGTAGTGGTTAGTGTGATCGCCTCACAAGTGAGAGGACCCCATTTGATTTTCGGGCTGAACAAAACTTTAGGCAAGTTTCCTTACTCCACACACTTCTGCTTCCCTGGCAGTAAGTAGGAGTTCAGTTGTTAGTCGATTGGTGGATCATCATTCCAGGGTAATAATACCTTTTTTTAAAAAAAAAATTGGCAACTCAATCTGTGACTGTTTGTGGGACACTGCTGTGCGCAATTGGCTGCCGTGTTTCACCCATGAAAATATTCAGTCAATTCACTTTACAGGGTACCCTGTGAAGCGCTTTGAGACGTCTCAATGACGTAATAAGGCGCTATATCAAATGCAAGGATTATTATCATGTCTTTTATGTTGGGAGGACATCCTGACACTGCGTTTAGCCTCGTCGGTACTTCCCTCACCTCTGGGTCAGAAACTTGTAGAACCTTATAAAAAAGATTAATCTTTGATATTGGACTTCAGGAAATTGTTTAATGCTAAAAACTAACCTTGGAATTTAACCATCTGAGAAATAACAATTTATAAGGAGGCCTTCTAACAAGGGTTGTAAATTTGCAAAACTTTCTAGAAGTTAATCATTATATGGAGAGATTTTATTTATCCAATAAAAGCTTCAAAGTGACTCGTATACTTCACAAACATTATTTCAATAACCCTCGCAGAAGCTACAGATGGTTTTTCTAAATCAATATGTGCTGTTGTAGACAGTGTGTTTGTCCTGTTAGGCATCAGCCTGGCTCAGTCGGTAGCACACGCGACACTCAATCAGAAGGTTATGGGTTGAAACCCCATGTTGGGACTTTGAACTCCAATAGTCCAGCTGACACTCCATTGCAGTGCTGAGGTCTCTATTCAAACCGAGAAGAGAGTTTCTCCTTGTGTCCTGGCCAACAATTCCACCCCCATGAACACAATACAAATTAACATTTATATCATGCTTTTCACGTTGGGAGGATGCTCCAAGGTGCTGGACAGTGGATGGACTATTTTGCATCCGACCTGGGGGGTGGGGGGAGGGGAAAAGATGGCTGAAAACATGGTCAAAGAGGAAGGTCTTGAGGTGAACCTTGAAGAGACATAAAATAAGTCATTGGTTTCATGGCTGTTTGCTTAACAGTTTCTACTGTTTTGACCTACCCAAATTCTCTGAAGCAAAGTGATTGTTTCCCTTCCTTCCAATAGTTTGCTTAAAAATTCACAATTGCTAAACCTCACAGTAAAAATCCTGCAAAGCACTTTGAGACATCTCATTGAGGTCATAAGATGTTATATCAAGTGCAAGGGTTATTACTATTATTATTTACTGATAGATAAACGTATTGACTTTTAATTTTGGTTCCTTAATTAATTTTCCAGCTGATCCCTTTAAAGATGATCCCTTCGGAAAAGTTGATATTGCAGGTACGTGGACTGCACGTTTTCATATTTCATATTATATATCGCCTTCGGATCAGCCGTTAAACCGAGGTCCCGTCTCCCTGCTCAAGGGGAAGTTAAAGATTCCTTTACACTATTCGAAAAGAGAAGGGAGTTTCTCCCCCAAATAAAATTGTTTGGTCAATCCATGATTGTTTGTGGGACTCCTCTGTGCGCCATCGGCTGCCGCATTTTGCCCACGAAATACACAGTCAATCCACTTTAGAGTATATCCTGTTGGTGGCGGCTGGTGTAACTCTGACGTCTGGTGAACTTGCAGATCCTTTTGGTGGGGATCCCTTTAAAGGTACAGACCCTTTTGCAGATGCTTCTGAAAACTTCTTTAAATCGTCTTCAAGTGATCCATTTGCATCCGCCGGCTCCGATCCTTTCAGCGATGCCACATCTAACAAGAATGTGATGTCGGTAAGTACTCGAGTGGATCGGTCGTACGACTTGAGCGTTGACTGATGTTTACAAATAGTCATAGAAAGTTGACAGAAAGATCAGAGAAGGAAGCTGTTCAGAACTGTCTTGGTATCTGAGTCCAGTTGTTGACACAAGTTGGATTGTTCATAACCAGTTTTTCTTACAATGGGATTGAAGGTGCCTGTATTATCTGGGCCCCAAATGGACCCATTAATTAATGGTTTATCTGCGGTTCAGAGCTAAATTCTATGTACTCAGTTGTCATTTGTGTCTTGTTTTATAAGCTTGAACAGCATAGAAGATCAGGCCACACAGGACAATCAGATTTATCTTTTGTTTTTTAGGCTGAAATGATGAAAGCAAATGATCCATTTGCTCCTGGTGGTGGTGCAGTCTCTGCTACTCCTGAAACAGGTGAGAACTCAAGTGTAACATTGCATTTTGTACAATCTTCGATAGCTGCAGGGGCTGGTGTGGTTGGAGATCGTGAACATGTATTTGCGGGTAAAACGTATACTCCAGTACATTATTTTACAGGATATCATCAAACCAGATTTAGATTACCATTCTGTAACTGAACCAGTTGATCAGTAGGGGTGCAATATTTGGTCTCATTATTTTTGGAGGGTAAATAAACCAAACACACTTCACCATTGCTGCTACTTGTCATTGCCTTTTTTTAAACTACAGTTTGAAGCTTCATCTGATTTAAATATCATTTTTATTAGGTGAAAACTTTGTTTTTATTCCCTTTTTTAATGCAAGTAAACAGTGGGTTGAGGCCCAAAGTAATTGTTTTGTTGAAAAATATGTACATGCAAAACTTTAAAAAATCAATTCCAAACATATAATTTCATTTTACCCACAAAATATACACTTTACAGTATATTCAGTGAAGTACTTTGAGACGTCTCGAAGACGTGATAAGGTGCTATATCAAATACGAGGATCATTATTAGTATTTTTATTATATAAACATCTCCCACTAAAATCTAGAATATAGTCTTGTGTGCAGATTGCGTACAATTCTGGTATAGGTTGAGCTCAACTCTTAACAATACGCGTCACTGCGGTATGTAAGAGAGATGGTCGTTAAACAGCCAATGTATTAATTCATCTCCAATACACTATCAGTCTCGATGATCATCACAGACCTGTTACTTTTGTGACTGAACTCATTGTTCAAACACCAAACATCCAACAAAATCAGCAAAAAGCAGAATAATCTTTACAAGGTTGATCTGTGTGAGGTGTTGGATTTTCATTTCAAGGTCAAAGTAATTGCACATCGCGACCAAGTTTACAGAGAGAACAAAGGGGTGTAGCCTTTAGAGTTGAGTTGCTGTACGTAATCTCATTTTAGATTTTAAAAAATTGTTACAGTAAAAATTCAGTGGTGACTTTAAGTGCTGCAAAAGCTCAGATTGATAACTTAGGTAACTATCCTAGGTGTGTGAATGATTGAGATGGAAACCAATGGTATCCAAAGAACAGTCTTCCCCCCCATAATAATAATCCTTGCATTTGATATAGCGCCATATCACGTCGTTGAGACGTCTCAAAGTGCTTCACAGAATATACTATAAAGTGTAGTGACTGTGTGAGGAGACTAAGGGAGATAAAGGGAAGAACATTGGGTGGGAGGGTTTTGGAGAGAGTATAATTTGGGTAAAACCTTACATTTCTGAGCGTCATGTAACTCTCTGTGTTCCAGGTGCAGATCCCTTTACCTCATTGTTTGGAACAGATTCGTTTGGAAGCGGGTTTGCTGACTTTAGCACTTTGTCAGAGGTGACTGCAAAAGTTTTACCGCTGCTTGATTCTGCCTTTTTCTCACAGTTTACATGTGGAATCGTTAATTTTTAATTTTAAACTGAGCTTTCTCAGGCCTCCTGTGTGATTCCCTGGGCAACTATTAGTGGCTGAGCCGTCAGTGACTAGGCCCTTCCTAACCTTTGGAACTCGCTGCCACTGTGAAGCGCTCCAGGCCATTACCCTACAGGAAGGTGCTGTATATATGTACGTGGGTGGGTGTGGTGGTGTGGGGGTAACAGAACTTTTCATTAGTGAATTTGGAAATATAAAATATTTACATTTTTAACTTCCTGTTTTCTTCTAAGCCACTTCCTCCTCACACACACTCGTCCAAAGTGTCTTCCTCATGCTGGCATGTTGATGGCTTTCTCTAGCCGATTCTCGTTTGTTCTCCAGCTTGTGTTACAGGTTGGGGTAAGCAGCAGTGTAGAGTTGGAACAGCAAACTGATTCCAAACTGAGACCCCAGCAGTGACCACAGCCCATCTTCTCTATTGCGGTGTCTTATTGCGCACAAATTTTTCAGACTTTGCATGTCATTAAACCTCTGTACATCCCATTCTCTTTACACCACATTCAGTCCAGCCCAGCAGATCCCTTCAGTTCTTCCACAGTAACGGAGCCCATTACTGAGACCTTTGGCAAAAACGGATTTACAGACGAACCAGTGAAAAATGAAGAGGTGCCCCCAGCATTGCCACCCAAGATCGGAACACCAACACGACCTCCTCCTCCTGTCGGTAAGCAGAAACCAGGGAGAAGAGTTTTAAGTCTCTTAGTTAGATTCCAATGTACAGGTCAATTCACAACCCACCTTTGTCAAGCATTGAAAAAGAAACACTTTCACTTTGTACCTTTCATAGTAAAAGAAGTGAGGAGAAGTATTGAATGATTGACATTGAGTAGATTTTGCATTTGGAAATTTACAGTCACACCCTGCTTTGTTGTATACTTTTGCTTTTGTCGTATTTCAGCTATTTGAAGCCTTCCACTTCAGCACATTGATCTCAATAGACATTTAGTGAGTCCTAATGGTGCTTAATGTGTGTTTGCCTTGGTTTTTTTTGTGTAGGTAAAAGACTTTCCCTTGTAAAGACAGAATCATCCGACTCTTTCAAGCTCAATGACCCCTTCAAACCCTTTGGTTCAGGGGACTTGCTCCACAAAGAAAACCACAACCATCTATTTCAGGATCCATTTGCTCCGACGTCTCCAACTAAAGATGTTGGAAACAACTTAAATTTTGCCAATTTCAACACCGTAAGTGTGTGTCTGTGTGTGTGTGTTACTGCTCAATCAGTAACACAAACCCAATCCTATTCACACTTTGATCTACATCTTCCTGCTCGAGGGGAGCTGTTGGGTGGAAGCTGAGTGTGTTGTTGCTGGAAGTAAATAAACAACAATAATATTGAGCTACTTGACATTTATGCCATAAAATCAATTAATATTAAATCAAGAAAAACCTGAAAACACTCATGATGGAACACGGACTAACCGACACTAACAACAACGTTACATTTGTATAGTGACTTTCACTAACCCAGCCTCGTGTGAATGTCCTGGAGGGGGAGGGGCTTCTTGCTGGCCCCGAAGGCCACCACTGGTATTGAGGAAGTTGGATGTACACTAGGGAGAGGAGAATAGGAGACTATGGGAGGGAATAAGGAGAGTTTGGAGACTGGTGTGGAGTAGTCGCTGGTTGGGCTGAATGGTCTGTTTCCATCCATCTGCCTGTTTAGCGCTTTGGGACGTCCTCTTGACGTGAAAGGCGCTCTACAAATGTAATTTTGTTGTTGTTGTTTCCATGCCGTACAGTCTGTGTGAGTTCTCGCATGTCAATTGTGAAAGGATCAAACCGTATTCACCTGCCCAGCGAAGCCTCTGCTTGTGAGCCTCAGGAAGGATACTGCTTACACAGGCAGCTCTTGTTCTCTATCTCTGTTGTCTGTCTGTCAAAGGACTGTAATTTATCCCCTTTAATTGAGCCTTTGTTAATGTTTCAGTATCCCAGTGAGGAAGATCAGATCGAATGGGCCAAAAGGGAAAGTGAGCGGGCAGAGAAGGAGCGATTGGCCCGACTAAACCAACAAGAACAGGAGGATTTGGAGCTCGCTATCGCGCTCAGTAAATCTGAAATCTCCGAAGCATGAGTAACTGACACATGGCCTCAGTGTTAATGGTTGCCATGACTCGCCTAACCAGCCTTGTTCTTACTAATTACATTTTATGTAGAAGCTACCTAAAGTAACTTTGACAATACTGGAAAACTCTTAGTGCTTTGACCTGGAATTACTAGTTTGTTACTGAAGAGTCTTATACTGGACTTGGGGGTAGTGTGGTGAGAGTATTCATTCAGATCTACTATTAATATAAAATAAAGTCTATCCTGTATATGTAAGAGAGCAATGTACAAGCTTATTACTGGTGCAAATCTGTATAAAATTCAATCCTTTCTGTTTCAATTAAAAAACTTCACATTAATGGGAGAACAGCAGCTTCCTATTCAAATACACTTATCCGATAGAATGCACAAGCCATTGAATGGGTGTTCTGTATATACTATTTGCACCTACTTATTTACAAAGTAGAGAGAAGAAACGTCATAAACCTTTTCAGATGTAGCATATTAACTGTCTCCATAACCGACTGTTGCTGACATATAATTGTATAGAGCATCCGTTTCAGAATCCCCGCTGGAGCCCTGCTGTAAGTTAAAGTGTGTAACCCCTAAACTTTTTACTGGCTTTTATTTTTTTAACTCGTCGGTTTTTCATTTTAAGTGACATTCCTTTTATGTTCATATGAAATTGCTGACTGTCCTGGTAAATAAACATAAAATAAAAAAACAAAAGCCTACATAAAGATATTTTATTAAGTCTTATTCGATATATGGGACTACATTGTCCTTCACTTACATCAACATCAACGTGCATTTACACCGCGCTCTTCACACAGGGCAGTGTCTCGGAGCGCTTGACAGTGCCAGAGTCTAACGCCGAGCTGGGGGGAGAGAGAACGTGATCGTAAGCAGTTGAAGAGGAAGGTACCCACCCAAATAAGCAGCTAAAATCACAAAAACTGAAGTTCAAACTTAGATTTATTTTGTGTCTTCATTTTGACATCATCAATTTTCTGGGGACATTGAGAAGATGATGGTTAGTCGAATTGCTGATTGTTTTAACTCTGATGTGTTGAGTAGTTGTGCAAATAATTTAACAAAAGGGCAGCCTGCCCCCCCACCCCAGATCTAACCACAAAGCAGATGTCAACCGAATGGTGAGCCCTAACAGCTCAGGATCAGGACAGGATCACAGCAGAGCCTGCGGTGAAGAATACTCTTGGACCCACTTGTTCTGTTTCCTTCCTTTACCCACGCCTACTGTCCTCTTGTCATAGCACCAATAGTTTCTCCACAAAATGGAGAATTCAAATCCACTCAAATTTAAAGTAAATCCTGTGAAGCACTTTGAGACGTCCTCCTGACGTGAAAGATGTTATATCAAATGGAAGGATTATTATACTTCCATCGTCACAGCTAACACCACCCCAAATACAATCTATTTCTGGTTTAGCAGTTTGCTGAACAAAAGCTAAAGAAAGTCGTGGTGGTTTGAATTTCACACAGATAAGCAAATATGGAGGGGAGAAAGAGGAGGAAATGTGCATTTCATTCTCAGAAAAATTGGAATAAGAATCATTTGACACAGCACCTGATCGTATTGTTGAGATGTCTCAAAGTGCTTCACCGGATACACTGTAAAATGGACAGAATGTATATTTTTGTGGATGAAATGTGTCAGCCAGTTTGCACACAAACAGTCGTGGAGAGAGTGACCCATTTAATTTAGGGGATTTTATTTACGGGGTCAGTCCCTGGATGAGGTATTGTGTCTCTTGGGCTGGGGGTGGGGGAGACTGGGGGTGCGGAGAGGGTGATGGAGGGTGTACAGCTGGTGTACAGCGGCTCTTGTTGCTGTTTTATGGATCTCATTCCTGAATCTCGCACCGTTTTGTAAGCAGAAAAGCAAAGCCGGACTTAGGTGAGTGTCAGCAACTGTTTGTGTGTATATACCGTGTACTGTGTTTGTATATACTGTGTATTGTGTATGTATACCATGTATTGTGTATGTATACTGTGTACTGTGTGTATATACCGTGTACTGTGTTTGTATGTACCGTGTATTGTGTAAGTATACCGTGTATTGTGTATATATACCTTGTACTGTGTATATATACTGTGTGTATATATGAAGTGTATATACTGTACTGTTTACTAGCTGCGTATATGTATATACCAACTGTATGTACTGTGTATACATACACAGTGACCATCTCAGGCCCCAGCTATTCGAAGACAAAGCCAAGCCATGGTCCCATGATGAACACTGTAGAGAAACTCCTTTTCTGAATATGATATTGTGACAACATGAGGAACGTGTTCTCTGCTGCAGGATCTCTAGCCACCATCGCAACAGGCAGAGACACAACTATAAAGTCCATCTGGTTCATCCACAAAACACACAGTCACTACACTTTTAGACGGGTTATGGGTTAGAGAGAATCAAGCTTGTATTTTGTGAAGTCACATGAGCATGAAGACAGATTAAATGTTGTTGATAGAGTTTGAAATTTAGGCTATTTTGAGCCATAATGTACAACCATAACCTTAACTCTGTGCGGGCTCATTTGTTGAACTTGAAATTAATTCCATGATTGTAGTTTCCTGTGAAGGGACACCACATGACTATCATTCAGTGAAGCCTGTCACACTGTTCAGTTAATGTGATTGCAGCTTATTTAACTGTTTCAAGCAACATTTCGATCTGTTAAGGATTTTCTATAGACGATTAAACCGTAAAGAATGTAAAAAGTGAGTCTTGTCTAATTTACCCTTGGGTTTCAGGTGATGTATATATTAATAATTATTCTTGCTTTTGATACAGCGCCTTATCATGTCTTTGAGATGTCTCAAAGCGCTTCACTGTAAAGTGAATTGACTATATTTTTGGGGCGAATCACAGCAGCAAATTGCGCACAGCAGCGTCCCACAAACAGTCACAGATAGAATGTGACTTTTTTTAAAATGAAGCTTCGCTATTATAGTCCTTCATAGATCTTACATTATGTAAATGATATCCTCATTCCATATCCCTGAATGTCTTTCAATATCTCTTAAATGCCCATAATTCCCAAATGCCCAGCTGTGTCTCTGTTAATCCCCTCAATTGATCTGTGATCTTCAGGAGCAGTACAGCAATTTAGCAATTTATTATTAGAGCAATGACCTGTTTCCCTCTAAACCTGCTTCCTTATAGACTGGCTTGAGTAATGCTCAATGTAATCCTGCAAATGAATTGTCGGGATGTTTCTCTAATCAATAGCTATTAACCTCTTGTTGGCCAGAGCCACCACTATTGCACTCTGGGACGCTCCCCTGTCCGAGGGCATTATATAAATGCAAGTTGTTGTTGTTATGCAGGGTGAGCTAAATATAGGGGTTAGCGTCTTCATACAGGTCCCTGATGTGGGGGGGGAGCGATGAACTTTATATCACATTATAATATATATAATATATATAAAACCTCTATGTAACTCACGTTTCAAAATTGAGTGAAAAGGTGAAATAATATGAGCGTGACTGACAGTTGTTACACCTTGTTATTACCTTTCACACACTAATGACCAACTGAGCCAGTGGATTGCCAGTGCGGACGTGGGTGGGGTGTGTACACAGGAACCTAGCTGGAATGTGGGATCTGCTGGGAACCTCAAGCTATTTACAAGCCCTGTCTTGTATCATTCCAAAGCCTCAGATTGAAATTTGCCAGAAATCCACAGCTGCTTTACATCAGAGGGTCAGCCTGGCTCTGGACGTAGCCTCTCGCTTCTGAGTCAGAAGGTTGTGGGCTCAAACCCCACATTGAGACTCGAGCTCATATAGTCCAGGCTGATGCTCCAATGCAGCGCTGGCAGGGTGGGGGGAGGGGAACTGGTTGGGTGGGGCGGGGGGACATGTTAAATCGAAAATGTGTTCCTCTTGGTTTCCCTGTCAACAAATCCCCTCAAATTCAATTGGTCATTCATTTCATGGCTGTTTGTGGAACATTACCGTGTACATGAGCTGCCATGTTTGCTACAAATACACAATTGCTCCGCTTTACAGCAAATCCTGTGAGTTATCTTCCTGACGTGACAGGATGCAAGGATTATTATCATGTTTCAGCAGCAAAGCAGGAGTCTGTGGTGTGTAAAGGGTAATAATAAGGAACTTGTGCAGCTGTATAACTGAGCTGATAAACCAATGATAGTGTTTCAGGGCTGATTGATTGGCCTGGACTGAACACACTATTGCAGATTTTATTGCAGGTTGGTAGGATCTGATGTAGATGTCAGGCCTGAAGTCAATACAGGTTTGAAACTGATAATAAAATACTATTTGCCATACAAGATTGGCCAGCTTTGCCCACAGTGTAAAAACTGGGGATTAAGTTCAGTTCAAGGGCCCGTTAATTTGAGGGGAATCTTTATAGAAGCTAGAGTATGAATCAACATTTTTAAAAAATTCTTCTGTTCACATGATTATTTTTAATATGAGTAGAATCATGGAATCGTGGATCTAACGTTAGTGTGTGTGTTTCTGTCATGAGAATGTAAGAACATAAGGATCGCCAGACAAAAGAAGACCAAGGTCCATCCAATTCATCTTCCACCATCCTGGTAGTTGCTTGCACAGGTTATGTCCCAAGCTATATATCGTATCCCAAGATATTATTCCCTAAAACAATCTAATTTGCTTTTGAAAGAATTGACACTTTCTGCTTCCACCGTCTCTCCAGAGAGCCTGTTCCATACATTTACTGCTCACTCACTGAAATGGTGTTTCTGCAGATTTGTTTTGAATTGTGTCAAAGCGTCTCTCTCACCTAGTACGTCCTGGTGTGTCAATTGTACCAGTGGGTTTACATGAGAGAACTTGTGGGCTAAAGTGACAGTTCGGTCGGAGGTAGAAAGGCCCATGTGAAGTTCCAGGAACACTGGGAAACTCAGTACTGCTGTCAGGTGGCTGTAAAAGGGTTCATTCCAGAGTTGTACTAGAGAAGTTTCTAGATGTCTGCCTTTGCTGGGAGATAAGGTTCTGAGACGCTAGCTACCCTGCCTGGAGGGTGCTATATAAGTGCAAATTGTTGTTGTTGTGATAGGGCTTGCAAGTTCACTTCCCCTTTTCCCACACATTCACACCTTTTCTGTTTGAGGGAGTGGATTGCAATCTGCGCTCAGGTCTCAGCAAGTTACTGCAGAAGATGAAATGAGATCAGCCTTTGGAGTGATCGTTCCTTAGTCTCCATTCCTCTGAGGACATTTGTCATTCAGCTGTGAGGAAGCGAAGCTGAACTTACAACATCCACAAAATTACATTTGTATAGCGCCTTTCACGTCGGGAGGACATCGCAGCTTAGTCCTGTTCTCACCTGATGTCTATAAACACACCTTCCACGAGGGGGCACTATACCCCAGACAGGAGAACAAAACCAGACTGAATTCTCTTCCTGTTTCCCCCAGTTTGACAACTTCACTGGGACCAATTGTAAAGCCCAGTGTAGATCAAATCATTCAGGACAAACAGGTCAGACTGTGGCACTTCAGGTCTGAATACTATAATGATTACTACCCTGGACCTGGGTATAGGGAGTACAATTTCCAAGTTTGTAGATGGTACTAAGCTGGAAAAGTAGTAAACAGTGAGAAGGATAGTAACAGACTGAAAATAGACAGATGGTAACACGGGCAGACACGGGGCAGATGAAGTTTAATGTGGAGGAATGTAAAGTGATGCATTTTGGGAGGAAGAATGAGGAGAGGCCATATAAACTGATGGTACAATCTTAAAGGGGGTGAAGGAACAGATAGTAAATCTGGGGGTCATATAGTAAATCTTTCAAGGTAGCTGGACAGGTAGATAAAACTGTTAAAAAAGCATCCGGGACATTAGGCTTTATAAATAGGGACAAAGTCAGGAAGTTATGATGAACCTTTATGTAAAACACTGGTGAGGCCCAGAACTGAACACTGAGACTGGGTTCAGTTCTGGGCCCCACACTTTAGGAAGGATGTCAAGGCATTGGAGAGGATGCAAAGGAGATTTACCAGGATGGTACCACCAATGAGGGACTTCAGTTATCAGGAGAGGCTATAGAAGCCAGGATTATTCTCCTTGGAGCAGAGAAGGTTAAGAGAAGACGTAATGGAAGGTTTCAAAATTATGAGGGGATTTGATAGGGTGAAGAAGGAGAAACTATTCCCACTGGCAGGTGGGTCGGTAACCCGGGGACACTGATTTAAAATAGTTGTTAAAAGAAACAGAGGGGAGGTGAGGAGAAATGTTTTCACACAGCGAGTTGTTGGGATCTGGAATGCATTGCCTGAAAGGCTGGTGGAAGCTGATTCGATAACAACTTTTAAGAGAAGTAGATAATTATTTGGGGAGGACAAGTTTGCAGGGCTATGGGGAGAGAACAAGGGAGTGGGGTTGATCAGGCCTTTGGGGAGAGAGCGGGGTTGATTTGGAAGCTCTTTTCAAAGAGCCAGCACAGATACTATGATTCTATACCTCCTGGGCCATTGAGTGCTGTACATGATTAACGTCTACAGTCTTATTTATACCGTATGTTAGGCATTTACTTTCTGTCTAATATCTTCACTGAATTGTGTCTTTCGATTTGCAAAGCAACAGCAAGTTAAATAAACAAAACACTGAACATATAAATATTTTCCTTTGAGAAAATCTTTCCTTAATAAGGTTAAGAAGCAATGACTTTATGGAATGCTTGTTTACTCAGTATCTCGTTGTGAGTTTTGGTAAAAGGTAGGCACTCACCAGGCAGTAAATTGCTAAACATGACAATCTCCATGTGTAGGTGGAATCCATGGAGTTTGGTTTGGATGATGGGTTTCCATATGTGTCAGACATCTGGCAGCTACTTTGGTTATAATTCTGTTGCAGAAAGACAAATCTTTTGAAGTCCCCTCTGTCTCTCTCTCCCCTCAAACATCACTGTTTATTTTGCTAATGAATGAGAACTGCTAAATTCTAGTCAATTTACGGGCAGCTTATTTGGACTTCATTGGCAGAATGTCGCACAACAGTGATATCCCAGTGAGGCTAGGAGGCTGTTCACACTATTGTACAAACCCTCTGGTCAACACAAGGATTCAGCTTGTCTTTCCAAAAAGGAAACTCTTCTGTTTTATCAGCCATCTCCCAAAATCAGCAGGAACTTGGTAACACAATACCAAGGGACTGTGTGATGGAGCTTTACATTTGCTGATCTTTTATAATAATATAATAATAATAATAATCCTTGCATTTGATATAGCGCTTTTCACATCTTCTAGACGTCTCAAAGCACTTCACAGAATAGACTGTAAAGTGAATTGACCGTATATTTGTGGGCGAACGCGGCAGCCAATTGCACACAGCAGTGTCCCACAAACAGTCGTAGATTGAAAATGACCAATTTATTATTGTTTTGTTTTGGAGGGATTATTATTAGGCGTTTGGAGTAAGGAAACTTGCCCAAGGTTTCGCCCTCTGCCTGGAACTGAACCCAGATGTCTTGCTTGCAAAGCGAGTGCTCTAACCACTGAACTACAGGACTCTTGCCAAAGGAACTGCATCATGGTTTTCTTTAATATGCTGTCAGATAAACTGCATCCACTGCCTAAGTATGTGGGTTATTATTAAAATTATGCTGGTTTTGATGACAAAAGAGATTTTTATTATTAATCATTCCTCAATGGAACGGGCCACTGAGTCAAGCTGATGCCTCTTGGTGAAAGGGTTAATTCCGACTGAGTTTAACGTATCTGATATGTATGATGCACTTTCTTTCAGATCATCCTTCAATTTAAAATCTGAACTAAAGCTTTACTGTCCATAATTATTTTATTTCCGTGGACAGGAAGAGATAAAGCAGCTTATCTGTGGGGAAAATCCTGCCATTAGGTTTGAATCTATGTGCATGTTACTGGTTGGTTGGTGGATAATGAAAATGTAGACTCTGTAAATTCAAAGGAATGTGATTCCATCCCCTTCCCCTGTCGAGGTCACTGGCTTTATCCAAAGGTATTCAATTAGGCAACACTGCAACCTTTAAGTTTCGCCCACAAAAATATACAGTCAATTCACTTTACAGTATATTCTGTGAAGTGCTTTGAGGCATCTCGAAGATGCGATAAGGCACGATATCAAATGCAAGGATTCTTCTTCTTATTATTCTCAACATTACCTCCCTCAGAGACACCAAGTCCTCATGTATTGGTGCAGTTTCTGGGCTTGTTGAGGTTGGCCACTTCAGCAAAGCCCAGCAATTATTTGGTCCTCGGGGCTTTTTGCTCAGCTGGGTGGGGCCTTTCTGAGTGCAGATAAATTAGATTTGAATGAGCTTACATATTTGTACTTGATTATCTCATTTCTGAGGACTAGTTTCACAGGTTTCTACATGAACCAAACACAGAGTGATGTAAGTTAACTGGTGATAGATAGGAAGTCAATTTAATTACTATTTACTGAATTAAGAATCAAATAGACTAAAGAACAACTTTAAAGATTCTGAAAGATTTTTATCTGTACTTTATACATACTGTATTCAGTGTGTGTTTCTTACTCGATTGGAGTATAACTTATGTAACTGGAACTCAATGAACTGCATGGATAAGCTTTGATGTTCCAATGACCTTTTGTGCTCTGTCACAAACCCGGTGCTACAATATTGGCATAAAATCTTGATGCAGTTTAAGAACAAAAAGGTACATTAGTGGAAAATAATAAATTCATTCACAATTTTTTGGGGGGTAAGAGTTGTGATGTTGTGATATGTTGCTGTTAAAGGGAGGGATTTATTTAACAGTATGAAGAAATTGCTGAATGTTTGTTGCAAAAGAAACGTGTCTCTATGTTTCCTGCATGTAAACTGTACCAGTAAAATATGCCTGGAGTAAACTGTAATATTAAATGAGAACCCAACAGGCACTAGGACCTTTTAGTGCTAGAAGCTAGAAGCAGTGTTTTAGTGATTGACTCCTTGCATGGCCACTAATGTTAAGCTGCTTTTATCACTGCAGGAGATGCACCCAATAGGCTTGTGCTGTCCTGCACATGGGTGGGACATGGACTGTCTGCAGAACAGAGTGTGATTGTCATCCAGACTTAGTTAAGTCGTATTCCTGGGCCATTGTACGGTGTGGTGTAACTCAGGATTGTACAAACTACACTGACAGCCTTTTTCTACTGACAATGTCACAAAGACTTGGCACAAGATCTGAAGGGTGAGTGAGACGTGCATTATATGAAGGTGCAAAGGATTTATTTTATTACTGTGGGAAGGAGGAAATTGGTTTGATCTGAGAATTCAGTGGTTGTATTAAACGCATGAATTTACAGAGCTGGAAGGAAAGTCAGGATTTGCACCATGGATTCATCACAGGTGTGTGTGTGTGTGGGAGGGGGGGTGGGGGCTGTGCAAAGAGGGCTCATTCTTTATTCGCAATAGTGTTTATCAAACCATTTTGTTTTGTTCCCCAAATGTGATTTCAGAATGCGCAGTCCAATGGTTCGAGTCATGGCTTCACTGACAAAAGGCTCTTTGTGAATTCTTATTCTCTAAAGTAAAAGTTCTTGGGAAACATTTTGTTTTAATGAAGACGGCATCAATTCATAGTATGAAAGAAAACATAAACATCAACAAAGAACAATCATTATTACCTGAATGGAAATCCATACCATTTCACCAGTCTTGCAGGGGCTGTTATTTTTCAGGCTCGACTACAACAACAACGTGCATTTAAATAACGCTCTTCACCCCGGACGGTATCTCAGAGCCACAATATGGCATTGTACTCGATTATAGCTGTGTTTGCAAATGTTTCTTTTTAAAAAAATGAATTTGGGATAGAAGCTTATTGGATGATCTAATCCTTGTTTTTTTTAAGAAAAACTAATGAAGGAAATTTTTCATTATTGTAAACCTTGTGCAGTTTGGTTTAATGTCTCTCTCTCTCTGTTCAAAACTGAACAGATCTGATTCGTTTCTTTTTCTGAGATCAGTTTCCTGTCCCATTACTGTTTCTTTTTGTGGTATTGATTAAGTGGAGATCAGAAGAAATTCCAGCCTTTTGCTGTTTGTTTTGCTGTTGGGGCAGTTAGCATCTTATGGTCACTACTGATAATGTAATATTTCTCACAGATTCTCAATCAGACAATGTTATCTTTTGGACGTGGAGGAAGGGGAGAGAGAGATGGTTCAATAGGAAGGCCCAATGCACATCGCATGTTAGAACGGGACTGGACAATGTACACTTGATTCCCGCCTCAAACCTGAAGCGAAAGAGACATAAATGCTTTGAACATTATGAAAAGAAGTGGATATTGCTTCAGATCTGCCCTCAAGTAAATAATCCCCCATTCTGTTTATTTGCTTTAAGTACAATTTATTTTCCTTTATTCGAGGGTAGGATTCTTTTAACCTTTGCTCCTGACTTTGACTGAGGGTCTGAGACCTTGTCAGAGCGGCCTGGGCTTGATTGCTCCTTGGATTTAATCTTTCTCTTAGCTCATTGACAAAAGCAATCTGTCATGGAATAATCACGCCAACTTTTTTTGCATTCGACAAAATAGCACTTTTTTAGGAATGACAGAAAGTCTCACTTCCTGACAATTGTGTTTAACTTTTCTCCTTTTAAGCTCTTTTTATTGCTTTCAGTCACTGACTCTCCTTGACTATCTTTACTCAGGTGTGTTGAGTCAGGAGGGTGAGGCGTTGTCACTTTAGCAGAAGGGACAGAGAGAGCAATTTCTCAATAGACTTTTTACAATTTCTCAAATGTTCTCCAAAGGCTTTCCTGCGTTTTAAAGGAAATAGAAGGGAAGTCGTTTTTTGGTGGCAAATATAGAAATAGTCAGAAAAGTGCAGGTAACGATAATATGTGTTGAGTTTTCATACCTGTCTCAGGATGTGAGTGACGCTGGCACCATTAGTGCCCATCGCTGGTTGCCCTGACTGAGTGATTTGTTTGATCATTTCAGGGTCAACCAGTTAATGTGGCTCTGAAGACACTTGTATGCCAGACTGGGTTTGGGTGGCAGATTGCCTTCCCTGAGGGACATTAGTCAATCAGTTGGATTTGTTATTTATAGCACTCCAGTTGCTTTGTGGCCAATTTTTATAGCTCAAATGACCATCAGTTTTGAATTCCTACCCATGAACTTACCACTGCAATACCATCCATATTATTCCACTGACCCTCTCGATAAATTTGTTGTTAAATATCATTCAGTACAAATTCTTTGAAAATAAAAGTATGCATTCTGACCCTGCGCAATCTAATGAGTAGGAACGCTGTGGCCAATTGTATCCATTTTAATAATGATAATCCTTGCATTTGATATAACGCCTTTTCACGTTGCCTCAAAGCGTTTCACAGAATATACAACTTGCACTTATATAGTGCCCTCCATGCAGGGTCTCAGAGCAATTAACAGTGGCGGAGACTGACTCTGAGTCGGGGGGGTGTGTGGGTCAGGAGGTGACCGTAAACACGGTTTTCAAGTGGGACTTGAAAAGGGGGAGAGGGGGGCAAGGCGGAGGGATTGAGGGAGAGTGTTTCAGTGTTTTGGGGCATAGTGGCAGAAAGTGCAACCTCCAATGGTGGGGCGGAGGGTGCGAGGGACAAGCAGGAGCCGGTGCTAGTCGAGCGGAGGCGCCAGGTGCTGGACTGGGGAGTGAGGAGGCCGGGGAGGGAGGGGCCAGGGAATGAAGGGATTTGAACACGAGAGTGAGAGGATGTTGAAGTGGATGCGTTGGGTGATGGAGAGCCAGTGGAGCCTGGGCCAGAGCTGCGGGGATGTGGGTGTGGAGTTTGGTCGGGCTCAGTATGTGGCAGCAGAGTCTGAATGAGCTGATCTTGTGAATAATGGAGCTGGGGAGACCAGCGAGAGGGGTGAGGGGGGTTGGAGTAATCCAGGCTGGAGGCGACAAACACATGCACGAGGGTTTGGGCTGCATTTGGGGAAAAGTACTGTCGAAGCGGACAACGTGGCGGAGGTGGAAGAAGGTGGTCCTGGTCAGGGACTGGATGTGGGGGAGGAAGGATAGTCTCTGGTCGAACAGGACGCCTAGATTGTGCACTGGTTCGGTGAGTCTGAGGGAGAGCCCAGGGAGGTTGAGGAGAGTTTAGATCCACAGGAATGAAGACGTTGACGGAAGACGAGGAGTATGGCTTCTGTCTTGTCCATTCAGCTGCAGGAAGTTTACACTCATCCAGGCCTTGATGTCAGACAAGTTAAAAGAACATTGGGGAGACCTGGAGTTGGTGCTGGAGGAGGCAAAGTAGATTTGTGTGTCATCCGCAAACATGTGGAAGTTTATCCTGTGTCTGCCGATGACATCGCCCAGAGGGAGCATAGAGATAAGGAAAAGAAGATGGATCCCTGGGGTACCCCGCAGGTGACCGGGCGGGGGGGCGGGAGGAGAACCTGTTTGCTGAGTTGAAATGAAGGCAGTTGGTTAAGTAGGACTCGAACCATGCGAGTGGTGTCCCATTAAGGTAGATGAGGGAGGAGAGGAGGATGGAGTGGCGACTGTGGTGAACGAGGCAGAGAGATCCGGGAGGATGAGGAGGCAGAGGGAGCCCTGGTCACGGATAGAGAGGATGTCGTTTGTGACAAGCGCTATCTCTGTGCTGTGTCAGGGAGAAAACCAGACTGGAGGGGCTCGAGGAGGGAGAGGTGTGACTGAAGTTGATCTGCAACAATGTGTTCCAGGACTTTGGTAAGGAAGGGCAGGTTGGAGATGGGACGGTAGTGTGAAAGATTAGAGGGATCGAGGGTGGAGTTTTGAGGAGGGGTGTGATGACAGCGGTTTTCAGGGCGAGTGGAACAGAGCCTGAGGAGAGAGACTGGTTGACAGGTGTCGGCCATCAGAGGGGAGAGAAGGGGGAATTGAGTGACCAGCAGCTGGGTGGGGAGGCGTCGAGGCAGCAGGTGGTGAACTTCATGCTGGTGATTGTGGTTGAGAGGGAGGAGGGAGAAATCTACTGTAAAGTGAATTCACTGTATATTTTGTGGGCTAAACACAGCAGCCAATTGCCTGCAGGAATGTCCCATAAACAGTTGTGGATTGGGTGGATTTTATTGTAACTGATTATTACCCCTGGAAAGCGATCCGCTAATCGACTAACAACCGGGTTCCTGCTTACTGCTAGATAAAAGCGGGGTGTGGACTAAGGAAACTTGCCTGGGAATTGAACCTGGGTCCTCTTGCTTGTGAGGCGAGTGCTTTAGCCACGAGACTATAGGACTCCAATGTAATACTGTTTATACTGAAGTATTGCAAACGCTTCATTCTACTGCAATTTCACTGCTTCCATAAGTCGCATGACCATTGTGCAGTTATAAGTTGGCTGTAGGTAATTATATTAAACTGCACCAGTTTTAACTCAATTAAAAAGCAGATTAACTCAGAAATTTTCCACTACTATTGAGAACCTCAGAAATGCAAATGATATAAACTATTTGTCAATGTGTGCTTTCGCAATGTGGAGAGGTTAGAATCATATACAGGGGAGAGTGGGGGAAAGGGAGAGGATTGTTTGATTTTAAAATTGGTCATTCAGCTTGCCTGTTTGTGGAACGTCACTGTGTGCAAATTGGTTACTGCGATCACCCGCAAATTTACAGTAAAATTCCTTGAAGCGCTTTGAGACATTTTGATCACCTGATAAGGTTCTTTGTCAAATCATTGCTGGCCACTTTGTCTTGATTTTTGTGTTGTGTTCTTTTTAACAGTTTATCTAAAATAGACCTGAAAATCTCTTTGGATGAATGTATGGCTGCCTTGGACCTGTTTCTAAGCAACAGATTTGGAGATGCCTTGGCCAGACTTCAGCCCAAGTAAGAAAATTTAGATTGGATTATTTGTGTGAAGCTTTCAGGATGAAGGAGTTGAATTTAACAACAACAACAAATTGCATTTGCACAGCACCTTTCATGTCAAGAGGAAGCCGCAAGGTGCTGGACAGTGGAAGATTGCACCCAGAGCTGGGGGTCGGAATCAAGAGGGATGGAGGGCAAGGGGGTGGGAGGATGACTGAAAGTGAGATTAAATAAAAAGGTCTTGAGATGTGCCTTGAAGGAGAGGCTCTGGGATGGAGTTCCAGAAGGTGGGGGCAGAATGGCTGAAAGGCCCAACCAACTTTGTACTGATGCAGACTGTGTAATCACAATAGCCCATGTGCAACTGAGTCAAAAAAAGCTGTGGGGAAAGAGCAGAGAAATGAGATTAGATTATAAGGCTCCAGTGGAAGAATTGGCTATAGCATAGCCAAGTAATAATAATCCTTGCATTTGATATAGGCCTTCACATCGAGAAAACATCCCAAAGCACTTTACAGGACATATGCAGTGACTGTGTGTTTTAATGGGATTATTGTATCCAATTCTGGTCCCCACACTATAAGAAGGATACAGCAGCAATCCAGAGTGTAGAGTAAATTTAAGAGGTTGATACAACAACAACAAGATTGCATTGCACGTTGGGAGGACGTCCCAAGGTGCTGGACAGTTGGGTCGGAACCCAAGAGGGGGAAATGGTCAGGATGAGGGGAGGGGAGGGAAGGGACGGAATGAGGAGGGGATAGAGAGTCGAGAGGGGAGGTGAAGTCACGGTTGAAGAAAAAGATACCAGGACAGTTAGGTTACTGTTATGAATAAGTGAGGCTTTTTAATGTTAGAAATGAGGTGTTTAAAGGGGGATCTAATAGAAGTGTTTTAAATTGTAAAAGGATTTGATAAGGGAGAGGTGAACATAGGTGAGTTTGAAGCGGTAGGTTTTAAGATGGAACTGGAAGACAAATAGAAATCCTCATATATGTGGCCATTTGTGTGGCTTTGTTGTGTGAAAATTGACTGCAGCATTTACCTGCAAATACAGTCACTGTGCTTTGCAGGAACCCTGTGACGTGGTTTGAGATATTTCTATGTTACAGACACCATATTCAAAGCAAAGTTCATTATAGTGGTCATCATTTACCTTCGACAAAATATGAAGGAATGATAATTACCTGAAGCTTCACAATTATACCATCCCCAACTCCTATCTTATTATCAGCGACAGCATTATGTTCTGTGCGTCACTGAATTCTTCACTTTGTTTAGAGTTTTGTGTCGTCGTGGCTACTGAAGGGCGAGGTGTTGTGGTTAATGTTTTATTTTGGATCGAGAACGTGGCACTAGGTTGGGCCAATAAAAGATTTGTCACTTTTAATTCCAACCTCATTACGTCATTCCACAAAGTGGGATAAATCAAGCACAACCTACCATAACTGACGTAACTCGGTGACTGTGTTTCCTTGTCATGGCTTGGCATGACTTGGATGAGTTGGATGATTTGGCAACAGACTTGGCTCAGGGGACAGACGGCTGATTTGAGCTGACCCTTGGGGTGGATGGGGAGTGGGGGTGGGGAGTGCTACCAACTATAAGCCAAACTGCCAGTCCAGCCTGAAATCTTAGCAGCCTTAGTTACTATCTGCCCAAAGCCTTGTGTTGGCTCCTGAGGCAGCCTGAAGCCCAGGCAGTTTTGCTCCTCCTGCGACCTACTAAAATATTACTAACCTCTCTGTTCGGAGGGCACTGGCCTGCTCCACGCACACCCCCACCCACCCCACCTTCAGGCCCATCACAAGATTGTCCCCTTTGACATTGCCTTCCGTCATCCTCCCACCTCCACCCTCTTGACTATAACCCCCAGCTCACTGTCCAGCACCTTGGGATGTCCTTCTGACGTGTGTAAACATTTTCATTGTTGTTCGCCATCTGATCGCTGTGGTCCCAATAGCCTCCCCACAGACAACAGATATTGTTGTGGTCACACTCTGATAAGATCCAACTGCAAAAACAATTTATATATACAATTATAAAGCGCCTTCCACGTCAATAGGACATCCCAAGGCACTGGGCAACTATACTCAACCGTAATTGTAACTGTTGGCACAAACTTCTCTGTGAGCATGTCCCAGGCAAAAAAAGAGTCAATATGAATTAATATCAATTTACAAAATTACAATGAAAACATGTGGATTTAATAAGGGAGGGAGTACCAAGATAATTTTATCTCCGCTCTCCTCTCTCAGTGTAAAATGCTGTATTTGAATAAACCTAATCTGGGATTCTGGGCTTTAGCTTCTCAGTAACTAGTACACAGTAATATTGACAAAGCACCATTTACAGTCCAGTGCCTTTTGACTAGAATACCTCAACAGAAACAACAGATGCAACAATACCCTCCCACCTAATAACCTGTCAGGGACAGCCCTACCTCCAAAGCAAATTCTCCCTTGCAGTTGATGAGTCATTTAAGGAAACCGGCAGCTTCTTTGTACAGTATTGATCTGATTGAAGTTTTTGCAAAAGAAACTGGAATGTTCAGAAATATAACACAGACAACAACAACAACATTACATTTGTATAGGCCTTTCACGTTGGGAGGATGTCCCAAGGTGCTGGACCTACAGTTTGACAAGGCGAGTAAACATCTTATTTTATGAAACATTTAAAAAGAAACTTGATCCTGTATGTGGGGTGGGGGGGGGAGGGGAGTGTTCTGGAGGAACATAGAAACAGGAGTAGACCATTCAGATACTCGAGCCTGTTCCGCCTTTCTATAAGATGTCGCAGAGAAAAGTTGCGATAATATTCATATCACTACCAGCATGGTTGCCAAAAAACCTGTGTAAACTTAAGGTAAATGAATCTCAGGGGCCTGATAAATTTCATCCGAGGATCCTGAAGGTACTAAGGGAGGAAGTCGCAGAAATGCTAGTACAAATCTTTCAAAAATCACTGAATACTGGAGAGGTTCCGGGGGACTGAAAAAAGGCAGATATTACTCTTATTTTTAAGAAAGGTAACAAAAGTGACCCAGGAAACTACAGAAGTTGGACGTCCATTGTAGGTAAAGTTATGGAGACTCTTACTAAGGATAAAATCATGGAGCATCTGGACAGAAATAAAATCACAAATAATAGCCAGTATGGGTTCATGAAAGGAAGGTCTTGCCAATCTTAATTTACTATTTTTCTTTGACGGTGTGACAAGGGAGCTTGATAAGGGTAAGGCTGTGGATGTTGTTGATCTGGATGTCAGTAAGGCCTTTGATACAGTTCCTCTTGAGAGGCTGGTACTGAAAGTGAAAAAAAGCGGGAATCAGTGGAGGTATATTACAATGGATACGCAATTGGTTGACCGGAAGTACCCAGAGGATGGTGGTACAGGGAATGTGATCAGACTGGGAAAATGTTGCCAGTGGACTTCCACAAGGGTTTATTTTGGTACCTCTTTTATTAATGTTTTTATAAATGATCTGGAACTAGGAGTCGCAAGCACAGTGGCTAAGTTTGCAGATGACACCAAGCTAATGAAGGTGGTAAAAATAATAATAATCCTTGCATTTGATATAGTGCTTTTCACGTCTTCTAGATGTCTCAAAGCGCTTCACAGAATATACTGTAAAGTGAAACAAAATACTGTAGTTGCTAGAAATCTGAAAACAAAAACAGAAGTCGCAGGTCAGGCAGCATCTATGGAGAAAGGAAAGTGAGTCAACGTTTTGGGTCCACGACATTCTGACGAAGGGTCGTGGACCCAAAACGTTGACTCACTTTCCTTTCTCCATAGATGCTGCCTGACCTGCTGAGTGTTCCCAGCGACTTCTGTTTTTGTATCTGTAAAGTGAATTGACTATATTTGTGGGCAAAACGTGGCAGCCAATTGCGCACAGCAGTGTCCCACAAAAAGTTGTGGATTGAAGTGACCAAATTATTATTGTTTTTTTTCTTGAGGGATTATTATCAGGCGTGTGGAGTAAGGAAACTTCCCCAAAGTTTTTCCCTGCCGGGAATTGAACCAAGGTCTCTCGCTGATTGCGAAGCTGAACGTGAGGATTTGAACATACTTGGGAATTGGGCGGATGAAATTCAATGTGGAGAAATGTGGGGACAAAAAATCCTGGGAGGGACTATAACTTGAATGGAAAGAAAACATGTATGGAAAATGAAAAGGACCTAAGGGCCCTGATTGATAATAAATCGATGCTCTCCCAACAATACTCTGTGCCAGTGAGTAAAACAAACCAGATGTTGGGATGTATCAAAAGATCAATAGGAGCCGAAATAGTGGGGTAATCCTGCCACTGTATAAATCATTGGTGAGACCATACTGTATACAGTTCTGGTCGCCGCAGTAGAAAAAGGTTATTGGAGAAATCGAGAAGATACAGAGGAGGGCAACCAAAATGATTGAGGAATGGAAGGACTGGACTATAAGGAGCGACTCAGTAATTTGGGCATGTTCACATTGAAAAAGAGAAGATTGAGAGGTAACATGATTGTTGTCTTTAAGCTTCTAAAGGAGCAAAACAATCTAGATCATGACAGGCTGTTTCAACTTGTCCAGAATAGTAAAAGGAGGCCATGGCCTGCGATTCAAAGAGGGTAAATTCGGAATAAATCTACGCAAACACTGTTTCAGTGAGCAAATAGTGAACCTGTGGAACAGGCTCCCTAGGGAGTCGGTAGAAGCAGGAAATGTTGATTCTTTCAACGCATATCAGATAGTTTTCTTTTAGGAAATAACATGATGGGATACAGTACATAGGTAGTTTGGGACGTATGTACATCCAACTAAATGGACCTTGGTCCTTTTTCATATAGTATTCCTTATGTTCTTATTCATATATTAAGATCATGGCTGTACCTCAACTCCAATTACCCACTTTTGCCCTGTATCCTGTGATACTCTGACCTAACAGATATCTGTCCACCTCAGCATTGAAAATGTGAATAAATAATAAATAATAATAATGCTTGCATTTTGATATAATGCTTTTCACGTCT